TTATCATCATAATTAACAGCAAAAAAAATCAAAGAAGTGCTGGTCATACCTCAAAGCAAAAAAAGGAGCACCATATAGAATAGCTTTCTTTCTGTTCCTAAATAATTCCCATTTAGAAGTGTCCTATTAAAGAAAAGTGAAACAAACTAAGGATAGTTATCACAATAAGAAGAAACAAGGTACTACGTAGGATAGCTAGGCAGCATGAGAAAATTGGTGTCGAGAAGAGTRAAGTGGGATAAGATTTAAATGGAGTGTGGGGCATTGGAGATAGGTAGAGTAAATAGAATGGGATTTGATAGAGTATAGAGTGGAATAGGGTTAGATGGGATAGAGTAGAGTAGATAAGGGTGTGGTATGGTGTTGTGTGGTGCAGCTAAATGAAGGAGTAAAGAAATCAAGAGTGCAAAAAAGTAAATCACACCCTACCTGAATGTATCCAAACAAAGGATCATTAATAGCGTTCCATATTAAAAATATCACTTGTGCAACATTAAACCAGGTCTCTGATATCCTAGAAATTATTTTACATCCATAAGTACAAAGAAACACAAGAAGTTCACAGGTCAGTCCTAAATCTCACAGGCTTGTCTAATYATTATACTTCATTCAAATACCCTTCTTATTTAAATGCATATTATATCAACATTAATGAAGAGTGAATGGCTTATCATTGATATAATAATATATATGATAACATGATATAACACAACCCAACACGACATGACACGACACGACACGACACGACACGACATGAATTGACACGACACGACGAGACACGATGAGACACAACGAGAAACGACACGACCAGACACGACACCACATGTAACACAATATAATATAATATAATATAACATAATATTAAACCATATATTTTAATATTATTGTTACAAGGCCATGTAATGAGGACATACACATTATAATTATATATATATATATATATATATATATATAATTTGTTTGTAATAGTAGGATATATTATTGTTATTGTTATATTATTATTATTACTATCATTTAATTCCCCCATGCATTACCACAGGAAGCACATACAGAGGGAAAGTAAAAATTTTTTAAACATTGCTAAGAAAAAGGACGACGTAAAGAACACTTCATGTGAGTAAATATGAGCGTTTATTTATTTTTTTCTCGTTAAATTACATTCAGTCTAAAAGCTTGTATGGGCTTCCTGTGGCATTACGTGGCCTTGTAACAAATTATAAATATTAATTGGTCCATTAAGACATCACAAAATCATATTTACCACAAATAAAAACAACTGTATTATTCCACAATGCTTTTACATAAGCTTAATATCGATAATATTATCAGTGAATGAAGTATTAAAACTCACCGATAAAGATGTAGGAATATCTTCACGTAATAAAAGTTAAAAATCGAGTGCATCATCATTGATGCAAGTGTAGTCATCGAATAAGCGAACGCATTTCTATGAATCGACATTTTAAAACCTTATATGCTTCACTCTTGTTCAACCAATCTGCATATTTACCAGTAAATGCAGTAAATGCTTAATATCTCTAGCTGTAAAGCTTTTCCTGCAATGATTTTTGATTCGGTTTGAGCGAGGAACAATAKTTTTGACACCAGGCCCTGCCAAGAAAATCCGCCGTGATGGACAAAGGAAACCCAAATTATAATTTTGCAAGGCAAATTTGTCATGCATCAGTTTCTTAGTTTCTCTTCTCTTCCCTTCTCAATAATTATTAACAATAAAAACGTTAGTAATTATTGATTGCAATCGCTTGTAAGACCGTATTTTCCGTCTTTTAGTCTGGGATAGGGTGTACAATTCTTARTTTTAGTCTGGGGTAGGGTATGTAAAATCAAAATTTTAGGTCTGGGATAGAGTCAGGGTTTTGAGGTCCTGGCGGCACACCCCTACCSAAGTTGGGGTGGCAGTACCCCCCGKGGGCAGTCCGAAGGCCTTGCTTGCTAACTTTGACAAATGACGCAAGACGATTGATAAACGTTTAGTTATCGATCTGCTAGCATCTTAATAAGTGAGTGGTGAGTGAGTGAGTGGTGAGTGAGTTACATTAGCAAGGATTGCGGTGTGTTTGCTGAGCAGGCTCAAATCCGAAATATGACTGATATTGGATCATAAAAAAATGAGTGAAGATACAACAATCTTTGATCCATTGTACAATAGATAATAATATAATGAGTGATAATATATGATATATAATATATGATAAATTAAACAGCACACAATTCATTTGGGTTTTGCTTTGAGCTGTGTAATTAATATAAGCCTCAGGAGTACAGAGCCAGGTACTACAGTGAAATGTCAAGTAAGTTAATTATTGACCTTTTTAGCTTCGCGCTGTTGCTAAATCAGTATGCTGTAGTATACCTACGCAGCGTGACCAAAGATCTAGGCAGGACACATTTTACGTTTGCTACTCGTTGTTAARAATAATACAGCAAGATACTGAAGTGTGCTATTATTGCGTTCTTGACTTAGGCAAGAATCCCAGCAAGGAATATCGCTATAGAGTCCAAAATCCTCTACGCCGTTCTAAGAAGGAAGGTCGACAGCTTGTTCCAGTCGACGACAACAACATGGAGATCGAGTTCCAATCCAGTGGGTCTTTGAAGCGAAAACTTTTCAAATGGAGAAGATATCTTATTCTTATCTTTACACCGCTTGTCTTCTTACCTCTGCCTTTGGTTATATCAACTTCGGTTAGTATGGTCATGATAAAGTATATAATCTTTAGGGTTTAAAAACCATTTATCTGTTAGAAGATCATGCTGAACAATTATTACACAAAGATGCACAACCTATAACATATAATGGTTATTYGGGTATTGTTCTCTGCCTCTACTCCTTGCATACGTTGAACTTCCAGAGATCTAGATCTTAAATATTTATAGTTCTTTTTAGTTTTGTAAATGAACTTTCTACGTGTTTGTACTACGTTGCAATTTTAGCTAAAATGGTTGTTCGTCATGTTTTTTTGTTTTGTTTACACAATATGTTTCTTTTATGTGACATTTTTGGCACTGATATAGAACATACCAATTATTTTACCTCGCTAGATTTTTTCTCAATCTTTACCCGATTGAACTGTTCTATATGTAAGAGTTTCTGCAAGGCCTTGATTATTAGCTCCTTTAGTGCTGAGGAGGGTTGGATCGAAGATGGTTAAGTAAATCGAAGCTCTGCAACAAACTACATTGATTTTGAAAAATAAGCTTTATTATTATAGTCTTTTGATCTTTAACCTTTAACTTTCATAATCTTGACTGGGATAACTTCAAAATCGGCCAACTTACACAAAATATTTTTTCACAACATCGTTTTCAGTTGAGGTTTATCGTGAGCTGAGATGCTCGACTTTCTAGCCGTCTTGCGTTTTTTTTAGCATCATTGTACGTGAGATCCTTGAGTTTCGTAGGCGATATAAAAAGTTTAAACCTTTGAATCAAAACACAGATTTTCAGTATATTTTGCAAGTTTCAAAAAGTACGATCTTGGTACGACCATAACCGCATCTCCCTCTAGTTCTAGACGAGGAAATTTTTTATAAACGACCAATACAAGATCTAGAATTCGAAATAAATATGAAAAGTAGTGATATAAATTGTAGTATACATTTTGGTTTTTGGAGCTTGTCCAGTTTGATGACTTTGATCATAGCAAATATTTACAAAGAAATTTTTTWATGAAAAATGCAAATGTTTTGAATTTTGAAACGAAAAAGTAAGCTTATTCGCCGTGGATTCGAAAATCACACAAGAGACTCCTACCTTCGTAGAAAAAAAGTGAAACTTCTGTAGAAAGTAAATATTGACTTCAAGTTATAAGCTTATTAGTTCCATGTGTCAATCGCATGCTTTGAACAACATATTTTTGATATTCGGGAATGTTTGCTAAGGCTGCCGCTCGGAGACAGGGCAATGCATTTGGTAAGGAGCAGGTTCAGTCATACTAAAATATTGCCATCAGCTTCTGCTGCGGATGCCGTTTCGGGGATACCGTATTTACTCGATTAAATGTCGTCCTCAAATGCCCAAACCCAGAGCGAGTAAATACCGTGTGTCAGTTTTTGAATTTCTGTCGGTGGACGTGGCTTCAAATCTCAACTCATTCTGTTGCGATTTTTAAACTTTTTTTAGCTTCAAATTATCAAAGAATTGTTATTTTTTCAGGAGTCGAAATGTGCGTACGCTATATTTGTCATGGCCATCTACTGGGTGACGGAAGTGGTGCCACTTGCCGTTACAGCCCTCTTACCCCTCGTGTTGTTCCCCCTACTGGGTGTGGTCGCTTCCAAGAAGATCAGTCCACCGTATTTTCAAGATACTAACGTGTTGTTTATGGGAGGTTTGATCGTTGCTGTGGCCATTGAACATTGGATGCTTCACAAACGAATCGCTTTGTATGTTTTATTGTTGGTTGGGACACAACCTCGAAGGTAAGTTATCCATCCTCTAATTTGTCCTTTCCYTTCTGTAATACACTCCACCCACATCGCTCCTCTCTTTCCCTCTGTCTTCCTCCCACCCTCCCTCCCCCTCCCCCCTCCGCTCTCTCTTGCTCTCTCTCTCTCTCTCTCGTGAACGCGGAATAAATAATTCGTCAGACTTCTTTACTACTACAGTCTGTTCCCATTACTTCAGTCTATTTTCCTTATTTTCATCCAGGCTTATGCTAGGTTTTATGGTAGTAACAGCTTTCTTGTCCATGTGGATAAGTAACACCGCCACCACAGCTATGATGGTACCAATAGCAGAAGCTGTGCTCTCTGAACTAAAGATAGAAGAACTCAAAAAMGAAAGGATGAACGCTAAAGAAAACGAAAGCAACCAGAACGTAGTCAACGAGGCGAACCCTGGATATGACGAAAACAGTGAAGGGTTTGGAGTTCGAATCGAGATGAAGGACAGAGAAAATGGTGAAGAGATTGTACCGGTTGAAGAAAAGAAAGTGCCATCGGATATCATGTATAAACCAGGAGAAAGGTTGGTTAGAAACTAAACGCTTGGAGTTTTTYTCCTGTATCTGATGTTAGCTAGAGTTGTTCAACTGAAATCAAGTCTTAGGATTGTCACTCTGTGCACTTAAAGACTCGTTCCCTTGGTGCAAGCAAAACTGCATCTGTCTAACACGGTCCTATTACTAGATTGATTGCTTTTGGATCTTAAAAAGTAGTCAACAGAAATAAAATGATAGATAAATAGGCATTTCCATTTCCATAGAGTGGCTATTCATCCACTGTTATTCAAATTGGAGTTTAGACGTTGATTTTTTGCGGAGGGAGGAAAACCGGAGAACCCGCAAAATCCTCATAATAAATGTTATATGCATGCATGAATAAATTCGTTGCTAGTTAGAAGTTTCACCTTAGCTATAAATAAACTCGCCGTCACCCCTGTTTTCAACCTGTCTTCTTCMAAACTTCAAAACAAGACAATATTTTTGGTGGTGTTTGCTAACTGCGACTTATTTTTGCCAAAGGACTTCGAGTGTGGAGCTTTTAGAGATGGACGAGACTGAGGTTAGTTGACGCCTTTTTAGTTATGTGCAAAAGTACCATATATCCATTAAATAGTACTAACTATATATTTAGTACAAAATAGCACCAGTGAAATAATTGTAAAACGAAAGAAATACATGTGTTTAGTGCATTTTAGTTTTTGTGCTATTGCATGGGTATATGGTTTGCACTCTATTATTCCATCTTTTCCATAAATATATACCAATAATAAATTTATTGATTCCTGTTACTTATTTTTCAAAAATTAGAAGAGAATCGCGGACACTTTCACAAGATTGAGTAAGATGTTGTTGTTGAGTATTGCTTACGCGGCGAATATTGGAGGAACAGCTACACTCACCGGCACCGCCCCTAATCTGGTACTTAGTGGACAGGTAACAAAGTAAGTGTGTGAAACATCCATGCATCCATGCATGCATCCATGCATCCATCCATCCATCCGACCACTCAACCTTAGTTATATACTGCATCGTCTTTCCTAGACTCTTCCCTGACAGCCCAGGAATAGGCTTTGCCTCGTGGTTCATGTTTGCTTTCCCGGAGATGGTCATTCTTCTGCTGATTGCCTGGGTATGGCTGCAGCTCCTCTTCCTTGGATTAAGGTACATCAACCGCCAGCCAACACAATGTATGTCTATTGCTTGTATTAGAGATAATAATGATGATGATGAATGATAATGATGGTGATTATGAAAGTGACGAAGGATGATGGTGATAGTGATGATGGTGATGATAGATGATGGTGATAGTGATGATGATGATGATAGATGATGGTGTTAGTGATGATGATGATGATAGATGATGGTGATAGTGATGATGAATTTATGATGATGCAATGAATGTTGATAGTCATGAAGATGGTGATGATGATAGTGATGATAATGGTAATGGTGATTAGTGATGATGAATTATGATGGTGGTAATGATGGTAATGATGATGCAATGAAAGTTAAAAGTCATGAAGATGGTGATGATGATGGCAATGGTGATTATGGTGATGAAGAATGATGGTGATGATGATGATATATAATGATGAATGATAACTGTGTGCGTGAAGATGCTTGATGATACTGACTGTTATGGTGGCAGCGGCAATGATAACTGGTATATATGATGATAATACAKCATAATATATCAGATATATAACATAATAATATATTAATATTTAATGATGATGATAACGAAGAGAATGATGATCATGAGGTTGATATAGACTAAGGAGGAGGATCCCACTGAAGATTATAAATTTGATAATGATAACTCTTTGATATTGTAATTTGCATCATTTTTATGACGGAACAAAACCTTTCCATCAGGTGCTCTTGTTGTAGAAAGACCCGAAATCCAGATCAAGGGAAATCAGCGAAAGCTGTATTAATGAAACAGTACGAAGAACTAGGTCCAATGAGGTATGAATCGATCACTCGACCACRGAAAGATAGATACTGTTTTACGTGACGATTAATTGAATTGTGTTTTCCCTCTTCATTTTGACAGTTTTGCTGAGAAAGCTGTTCTTGTTCATTTTATCCTCTTGGCTCTGCTTTGGCTGTTTCGCGATCCTAAGTTCATGTCTGGATGGTCTATCATCTTCAAGGATAAGTACGAAAAAATCAAAACCATATCAGTGGCCTTTATGACACTTCATTCCCTTCCTCCTCTCTCTATCCTCCTCCATCTCCTTTCCCTTTCTCGTTCTCTCCCTCCTTCACCACCTTTTAATTTTGCKCTTTCTTTTCCTTATTACGGATTTCATTGAACTGTGGCACGCATTAAAAWATTCGTCTGCGAATTTGCCTACGAGACGCTGTGACTCCGCCCACTTGGAGGTGTGATTTTGTCTGCATTCCTTTCTCGGCTATTCCCGTGCAACGTTCAATTCAAAATTATGGCGGCGAGTAGAAGGTTCGAGTTCAAAGTTGAGTATGGAGGYGGGGGAAGTTTTCGAGCAATTTCTGCAAATTTTCCAGGAAAGAATCATKTTATGATATCCCCACCACTTTCAACAAYCTCATCTATRACGAGAGAWCTCAAATCWCTACTTATGCTCTTCCCCTACTGTAAACACGACCAAGTTCGCTGATGTCCATTGTRCATTTCACCAGAAAGGAATGCAGACAAAATCACACCTCCGAGTGGGCGGAGTCACAGCGTCTCGTAGGCAAATTTGCAGACGAATTTTTTAATGCGTGCCACAGTTCAATGAAATCCGTAGTAAGCCCTATCTCTCCCACTGCTTTTGTAAGTTTCTTTCCTTCCTTTATTCCTTCCTCACTTCCCTTCAATTTCTTTACTGTCCTTTCCTTCTTTCCTGGTCCTTCAAAATTTGTTTTCCTCTGCTCTRCCACAGATTTGTCAGTGATGGAACAGTAGCCATGATTATTGCTTTCTCTCTCTTCATCTTTCCTTCTGAAAAACCYAAGATCTTCTGCTGGAATCCTGACGGGGAGGGTAAGTAGGACTTTGGACATCTCTTGGTACGACTAGCTAGCTAGCTACTCACTTGTACAAAATGTTCTATTAAATAATTTTCTTTACAATAGTTACCAAGCCACCACCGGCATTGCTGACCTGGAAGACTGCGTCGAGGAAGTTACCCTGGAATATACTTATCTTGCTGGGGAGTGGCTTTGCTCTTGCCGAGGCTTGTAAGGTAACAGAACGTATACATACTACCCTGTATCATGTATCGTCATCATGTATCATCATCATGTAACATTATCATGTATCATCATTTATCATCATGTATCATCATCATGTATCATCATCATGTAACATCACCATGTATCATCATCATACATCATCATCATGTATCATCATGTATAATCATCATGTATCATCATCATATATCACCATTATGTATCATCGTCATGTATCATCATCATGTATCATCATCATGTAACATCACCATGTATCATCATCATGTATCATCTTGTACAACCACCACCACCACCAGCACCATCACCATCACCATCACCATCACCATCACCACCACCATCACCACCACCACCACCATCACCACCACCACCCTCACCACCACCAACAATAACACCATCATCATCACGTTCCATCGTCATAATTCCTCACCACCATCATAAACAGCAGCTACAGCAAATTTAAGGAAACACTTCGTAGGACAAACCATGATACATGATTTATTAGTTTCATGTGAAGGAGCTCGGCTGATGTGTATGTGTCTCAGGTTTCAGGCCTTTCCTTATGGCTTGGGCAACAGTTGGTTGGTCTTAAACACGTTCCCAGCTGGGGTATAGTGACCATCGTGTGTGTCCTGATCACCACGTTTACCGAGGTCACATCGAATACCGCTACAGCAACCATTTTCCTGCCAATACTTGCTTCCTTGGTGAGTAGATTATTGTTGTATTTTTACAGATAAGTGAAAAATATTGACTCAAAATTCCTTCATTTGATGACAAAAATCGATTTGAATTTCTCGGAGAAATGAACGAAAGTACAAAACTATAACGCTCCGTTCCAGCCCATCCAGGTGCTAACCCCTCTCAACTGGGTTTGATTTAGGTTAACTAAATATTGTAAATGAAAAAAATCTGAACGAATTAAATGTTGCATTGACGAAACGTTTTGTTTTAGTGAAAAACATATGAGCCAGTTAGACTTAATTTTCTTTTCAGGGCGAGAGYATTCAAGTCAACCCGTGGTATCTTATGATCCCGGCTACTGTTGCTTGTTCCTTTGCCTTCATGCTTCCCGTGGCTACCCCCCCTAATGCCATAGTGTTCGCAGGGGGAGAACTCAAAGTATCCGACATGGTAATATTATATTAATGCTAGATCTATAAATGTTTAGAGTGCGTGCATACCATATATTAGTGAAGAAGTTAAACAACAAAATTATACAAATTAGCGTAAMGTTTGATAGGTCTACGGTCTACTGAGGTCTACTGAACTTACATCATCATCATCATTATCATCATTATTTGGGAAATGAGCAATCTCTAACCTTCTACCATCTTCAAGTCCTATGTAGATCGGCGATAAGTTGTTTATGGTATCCTAATAAAAAGTCAAGTAATTCATTAACTTGAAATATGTCATAATTAGTCTCTTCAAACTTGGCCTCACAATTTCTCTGTTTTCATTGTGTTTTTCTCGCTTATTTCACCGATGTTGCATACAGTTCCTTCGATGATGATGATGACTAATACCATTACCATTATTATTATTATTATTTCAGGCCAAGGCTGGTTTAGGGATGAATCTCATGTGCTGTGCAGTCCTCGTCCTTTGTATCAACACGTTTGGTTCAGCCATGTTTGACTTGCAAGAGTATCCATCTTGGGCCGCACAGATTACTAACACCGCCAATAACTACACTCTTGTCTGTAAAAACGTTACTATTTCATGATGCATTTGATCTAGATTTGTACTTGGACCGGAAAAACAAGGTTGTAATGTTTTATGATGTGATATAMATACTTTTTACTTGGATACCTGTGGTAGCTCTCAGATAAGAAATTAAAAAAGAAAAATCAAGAGTTTAGGATCGAAATTTTGGTTCCACACAAAATCGAGGCTAAACTCGCGAATATGAATCTGCAGTCAAGGAACACAGCGGTACTTTACCAATTCTCCAGTTTCGAGTTCTCTGTTGCTCAGGGTTAGCGTTGATTTTAAAATATTCATGTGTTGCAGTRAAGGTCCGTGGAATTTCAAAGTGTTTTTATTGTTCWAGAATTGCATTCCTTATTTTACTGTTGRTATTTGTGAATATTTGGACACTGAAATGAGGTTAACCCTGTGTAAATGAGTCTGTGACCAAGGAACACAGCGGTATTTGACTAGTTCGAAAATGGTCTATTCCCAATCTGGGTGGGTGTGGGGGATGGGGCCAAAAAGAATTCCCTTCTCTTGATGATTGAAACCTAAAGAACAAGCAACCAACCATACTCACGCATGATGACGGGTCCAGGGAAGTGACCCACGGATCCAGCGGGAAGACCATCACACTAAACGTACTCCCCTAATCTACTTTTAATAATGAACTCTATTCCCCTGTTCACATTGTTTTTTTTTGACATTTCATGTCATTCAAATATATTTTCAAGAACCATATACYATATAGAATAAAACCTCGCAAAGATCAGATAAAACGTTTTGGATAAAAAAAGAAAAATTTATATACACGTGCTCGTTTTGGATCTGATTAAAAAAGGAGCTAGTCAAATATATTTGCATAGAATTCAAAAAAAAGTGTAAGTAAATCCCTTAAAAATTAATGCGTGGGAAATAAGTTGTAGAAAACTAGTAGTAAGGATGTGACGGCGCAGTTTTGACCCACAATTCACTGCGCGCCGAGTCATT